CCGAGGAACTGCTATTGAGGTAGAAACTTGGAAAGCGGGTAATCCTGCCAAATAACTAAAAATCATATATAATCCTCGCGAGGAATATAGTGCGCTCGTAAAATCGGTCGAGCTTAAAGCTCCACGTGTTTCGACTTCTGAAACAGTGAAATGAAACATTTGGGGAAAGATGAGGCGTTGGAGGGTCTATCAGTGCCATCTGATAGCAGTTTGAAGTTAGTTCTATTACTAACAGTTCTCTCAGCATTGCTAATAATAATTTACAAATGATTTGGTATTTCTTCAGACGTTCGAAATATTAAATAGAATTTAATAGCAATGGCTATGAATCAAATTAACCCTTTGACTGCCACACCGAAATTACGTGTTTCACTTAGGACGCCAGGGGAGTGCACTGTTCGATGCAAGATTTGTTCTAATATTTTTTTGATCAATGTTTTAATAAAAATTTTTAATTATTCAATGTGGCACTTTAAAATGTCTTCTAATTAGCGCTTATATTCATAATGCACCAACTGTCAATTTTCCTTCAATTTTTACAATTGTAGTATGCTCTATCAGGCGCTCTGGTCATCGATGACCACCTTGGCGTCACAAGAGAAACCGTGGTTGATCATATACGCAGGATTTCCAGCTAGATTAATCCTATGCAGACCGAGATCTGCGTGTCTAATGAACAACAACTCCCTTTTAATAATAAAACTGATTTATTTAATTAACATATTACACTAAGTTCCTCTCAATTCTAACTCTCAAACACACGATCCTCTATTTGCACCCTTACTTAAAGTCAAAACTCTCTCTATCCATACACTGGCTTTCTCTCTCAATCACTCGACTTATTCATAAATATGTCTTCCATTCGCACGCACTCCAGGCATCGTCCTAAACGCCTAAGTGGAAGCCAATGTCACCGTTTATTATTCTCCAGATAGAGTCCTTTGCCGCTCGCCACTCCATATATATGACCAACGTGGCAGTCAAAGTGTCAAGATTCCAAATTAATGGACAAATTTTCCCATTTTACTGTTTGGTGTTAGATACCTAGTACTATAATCTATTCAACGAGATAAATCAGTGAAAAGTCATGTAAAGTTTACATAAAACATGATCGACCAGTATTCTTTTGTCACACGAGTCCCTCACTATTTGATTTCACTATTTATTTTAATATTAGATCATATATAGAAGCTCTAGAGAGGCCTAAGTTTCGACGACTTCAATTGTGTCATCTTCACATCAGTCCAAGTCACTTAGTACAATAATTTACGAGCACACTTTACTTAGGAACTGCAGTCTTGGTGGCACAGATGTTAAATTCCATTCATCAGAAACAGTAGACGTACATAACCCTGTCGTGCACCTCCATTGATCCCCATAACGCGATGAGACAAGATGAGAGAAAATGTTTGATTAATATAGGTATTCACCTCATTCTTGTCAGTACGAAAGGTTTATTTTCATCGTTCCTGTAGGATTTTATTCGGCAGTAAAATTAAATTAGACAGAGAGATGAATGAATTCGAGGGATAAATGAAATCGAAGGAACACAATAGTCGATTATGATGAGCTCCGCGAAGAGGGCGCGCTTGTCGTTCCGACGCCATTTTGCGACTGCCGTTCGCGACGCTCGATTCCTTTATTTTCCGACGCTGCAACGAATTCTAAAGATTCCAGCGTGTGAACAGCGAAGGGAAAACGAGGAATGCGATGAAACAGCTTCACCGTGGAAATTTATTTTTCATTATTTAGTTCATCAGCGAAGATTTAACAATCGATGGATTTAACTGTACGATTCGTGACGTGAAATGTTGTGCTTTTATTTTGCATTAGAGAGAAAGGCGAGCAGTTCTGTATTCTCAGTCGTGGTCAGAGGATTACTGTGTACCGTAAAATCGATGAAGTGGACACTCTTTGTTCTGTTCTCTTACACTTTGTTTTAAAGCAGGATTTTATATATTTTTCTTATGCAATTTCAACGTAGCATTGAAATTTAGGTGTTATGTTTAATACTTAGCTTTGTCTCTGTGTTGTATAATATGTATTTTTCATTTGGTTGTCGCAAATTCGATATAGTTATTGAATAAATCTAACTTCATACATGTAGGCTAAATATTTCTTGTGGGTATTTATTATGGTTTATATGAGATTCAGGGTATTGCATAGAGAATTATGGTATTGAGGACTGGTAATTATAAAATTATATCATACATTAGCCTGATTGTTTTTAGAACTTTCTCTTAAGCTTCTCTTAATTTTAACGAGAATTAGGGAGTTTCTAAAGTCTTAGATCCTTTGTCTTTTATCACCCTGTATAACAATTTTGATGGATTCCAATCGCGAATTCGGCGAAATACAAAGAGGACTTGGAAGTGAGGTCGAACGATAAATAGTGCCTGTAAAGACAATACTAGTTTCGAGGCGATGTTTTTTGTTGGATTTGTCAGGTGGAAGCATCGCTGGTCCGAAAGGGATGAAAAGTATTAGAAGCAATTCGCTAATTGTCGTGCCAGACCAAGAAATGAATTGTTTCTTTGCTTCCTATCCCTGGAAAGAAACTCCAACTTTCCTCGTTTTATTCGGTAAAAATAAAAATTCTTATTTCCTAAACTGAAAAGCATCTATCTGAATTTTATAAAATTCAAAAACCAAATGTTTAAGTAAAATTAATAGAAAATACAAAATTATTAGTACTCGTGAAATTAAATATTCCAAAACCTATCTATAATTTATAAATAATATTTTTTCGTTGTTTGTGAAATTTATTATAGGGATCAATTCAACACTCGAAGACAATGAAATAATTTATTTAGCATTAGAACTTAACAGCTATAAATAATTATGAATCTTAATTAAAATTGGTATTAATTTTGCCAAAAACTTCTGAATATCTTTAGTGACAATAAAAATAAAAAGTCTAAAACAATTCGACTAGCCTGGAACTTCTAATACTAAAAATATATTCGATTCGAATATTGTTATTGCTACATCCAAAATTTAGTATCGATTCTTCGTTCATCACTCTGAAAAAAAGAATTATTTCTAGTCGAAGATTAATAGTCACACATTTATTGGTATAATCACTGGCTTCCATAAAATAGTAATTCTGAACTAAATTGAGTCGAAAGCTATCAAACCTGCCTCCCGACCATAATACCCAATATTCACCGTTACATTCGGTAATAGTGATAGCATCCTAAATAACGATCAGACCATAACTCCCAGATAAGAATCATTATTATTCCACCTAACACCCACAAACTGTCCTCGCATCTCCGATTCCAATGACAGCCTAATAACAGCCTAGGACATTCACTCGAACGACATCTCGACCATAAACCTCCTTTCATTCGACCAAAATCCCAGGGTTAATTATCACCAGATCCACGAATATCAGCTACACGATCTCAATATGCCTGAAATAAAAGCGAAGCGCCGAATTAGCAATAACAAAGAAAGCTGGAGCAAACGATACACTTATAAGAATCATCCCCATTGTCTCTGAGTGTCTGGTTGGTTCCTCGGGTGGGCTGGCACCGATAAAGAAACAGCCCGTATAATAATACGATGATTCAGAACGGCGCGAAATTGTCCCGGGGATTCCGATGTACAAAGGAATCGTGCAAACGGCTGGCTGGTCGGAAGTGTGCCGAAGAATACTCTGGATCCGCGATGCCATTTTCCCCTCGTGGAACCGGCAATTCCACGTGGCAGCCGGAACAAATACGCCACGTAGGGTAACTCGAGACCACGATACTTTCCCCTAGACCCTTTCCACCCTGATGAATTATGTGTACAGTGCAGAGCTGGAAAGTTGGATCGGAACACTGGTTTGATTGATCGTTGTGTTATGGATCTACTCTCCTTGAAAGAAAAAAGATGGCGGTTATTCGTATTCTCCTGATGTGTCATGAAATTGGGCATAATGTAATGGACCCAACTTCTATTAGAGCATCGTAAATATGGTGCCACGCGTATTCTCATTACATGTTATGCAAGTGTCGCATTGACGAATCGGGTGGTAGAATATTGCACGATGCAGGAAGAAAATGGGATCATGGAAATTAAGTGGAATAATGATTGCAGAACTACATTAATAGCAATAAGTAGTGACATGGATGTAAGCTCAGAATGTAGACACTATACATTGGCTGATGCTATGATGGCAATGATAGTGGGTGAATTGTTATCCAATTTTGTTCCGAAAATTGTAATTATAAATTATAACTTCTTTCGAATTGAGATTTCTATTTAACCCTTTGATTAACCTGTTTAATCTCAGGTTAAATAACTTCCTGTCAAATTTTTGTTTTCCCTATATAGAAAAGAAGCAGTTCGGAACTTCCCTGTTATGCAATCGATGACACTTTTGTATAGTAATATAAAAGGAAATCATGACAGTCATTTACAGCAGGAAATAATAAATAGTTATTGTCACCTCTCGAACATCAATTGAACTATAGCATGGAAACAACTTAGCTCTCGGGAGCAAAGAGTTAAATAAGCCAAAGTTACAGTTTCTGATCAACCAGGACACTTGTGTTAATTATTAACCTTGATGTTGTAATTTATTCGATTACTGTATCAATTCCATTTATCCTACTATTAATTCGACGTCGAGAATTTAAAGTTGAGAATTTCGCGAGCATCGAGTGAAGTTAGGTATACCTGCGCGCCATCTGTCCAGCTCGAGCTCAGTACAGAACTCTCTGGTGATTCAGCAAGAGAAAGTAGGAAGGCAAAACTGAAGCTAGACGCAGAATCGCGATCACGTCTCGAAACCAGTTGGTTAGAATCTAGTCGTAGCCCGAATTTTTGGAATGATCCTTTTTGTTTCATATGCGTGGAGATTCACGTACGCTTTGCACGCGCTTTGTCTGTGTCCCGAGGAAAGCACGAACGAATAAAAAAGCACCCTCGAGAGAACGAGAGAGTTTCGCAGGTACGAATAACGATCGTTGTTGCATCCCCCTCTCTTCCACCCCGACCCGCTCTTCTAGCATCGGGACACGCAGGAAACGCTGACAGTCCTCGACAGGTTGGACCTCGATACCGAGATGCCGACCGACGAGGAGCTGGCGAGGAAGTTTGGCTTCGAGGAGGCGTATTACCGGGGTACTCTCACGAGGTGGCAGAAGATCAAGCCCCGGATGTGGTCGCTGTTCGATGAACCGTACACCTCGTCGGCAGCCAAGGTTTGTGATCATTTTATAAATTACATATTTTCCTGTGTCTATTATTTATATAGACAGAATTGACGATTCAAAATCGTTGATTCGAAATGGTGTAGAAAGAGAGCTATTTAGAAAATTTTGTATAAATATTTAGTAAAGTAATAATACGCACTGAGCTCTTCTTTTTAGGTTATGTTGAAGAAATATTTATTTCGTAATATCTTATTCTTTCTTTTACTGGTTATTTTCGATAGTATAATTTTGACATCGTGTACTAATGGGATAATGTGATCTATCAATGAGCTATTCAACTCGTGGACTTTGTAAACTAGCTGTTTGAGTCCCAGAGACTTTTAACCACTTGCGGTGGCAAGGAATTCACAGACGTGTGCCAGAACGGTCCAGTATTTCTGTAACAATTGCCTAACGACGTGTATACCACGTCGTTGATCCAGAGACTTTTAACCACTTGCGGTGGCAAGGAATTCACAGACGTGTGCCAAAACGGTCCAGTATTTCTGTAACAATTGCCTAACGACGTGTATACCACGTCGTTGACGATTCTGTGACAAAAGCATTACGACCTGCGTGACACGTCTTTCCAGCGCAAGTGGTTAAAAGAACACGATGATAGCGCTTGTCTTAATCGAGTGCAAAGAAGCCCAAACGGTGCGATAGCGCTTGGATTTTATGTCGAAAAATCCCAATTGGCTCGATAACATTACCAAAGTTGAGTGCGCCACTTCGACAGTCATTGATAGCACCGTCAGTTGTCCATAGCGTTCGAAATGCACTGGGATTTTTGGACACAAAATCTGAAAAGCGCGATCGCGCTGCTTGGGACATAGACGGTTAGGAAAAGTCGCGTGCAGATGGCGCAACTGTGTTAAGGCGACTTCGCTGTCTTGGAATATTTTAAAGTAAGCTGAAAGTGTTGGGTTGTTTGCAATGATTTTTGATACTTTTGAGATATCTTAAGTAATTGTTTTTCTAAATAGCTCTCTACATACCGGATATTTTAACCTCTACCGTTCAATGTGAATAGTTAATTAATCATTAGTCTGAAATTTATAACGAAATATATAATTAAATATAAAATGCAGCTAGTCCTTTTTCACGCAATTATTCGCAATTATGTATTAAAATAATGTGAGTAATTTATATATATTGTTTTAATAATGCAATATTCAGATAATAAAAATATTGGTATGGTGTATCACGAAATTAATAAAATTGTAGACACTATAACGTCTTGATAATAAAAATTGTAAATAGTATACGTCTCAAATAATAGAAATTTTGGGTAATCCAATTTCGAATCGCGTAACATTCAAGCAATACAATTTGGAACAGTATAACGTTCAAATTTTAAGTATACTATTCGACTAATAGAATACTTTAATAGTACATGTTTGAGTGAGACTCTACTCCATTATAAACTTGACGAACACGTGTCTTGCAAGGTCTCGAATAAAAGAGGTTACGTAAAGGTCAAACATCAGTCTTAATCCTCATGAAACGCTAGGGCAGTTAACGTAGTTATCACAGCAGAAACGAGTCGATAAATCTTCGAAAAGTTTCTTCGTAAAAACAGCTTTTCATTTGTTATTCTCTTCTGCTGATTATGACAAAGAAGCGGATCGAGCTGAAAAGTTTCAATTCTCTTGCGCGGCTGTCGAAACGACAGTACTCCGTTGTAAACAGGTTTACGTTCAATGAAAAAGTTGCTCGTGATAATAAACTTCTGCCGGGTTTCCAATACTACGAAACGAACGAAATTTATGTACATGTATATATATATACATATTTCGCATGCAGGAATTTCCAGAATATTTGTTTCGTTAATTTTCCTTTTATGGTAACATTCATCGGTGAATGAGAAATATCTGAAAATATTTTCGATGCACGCATCGTATTTTCATTTCGAATGACATCGTGCTTTCGAGAGAAACGAGTCATCGGGCTATTAAAATAAATTTTCGTTTCGTTGTCTGAACATTGTTTCTTAGTAATTATGCACTACGATATTTTCAAAAGTGATAATACTAATAATAAAATAATAAATTCGTAGCAATAATAGCAAAATAATTGGAATAATAATAGTAGTCGTGTCTAAATTTAAGGTTAGGTTTGACTTTCCCTAGCACAAGTTAACTTATTGTTAGAGGTTATTTCGTCACATTTTTCATTCTTATATTATATATAATGTGGTAAATAATACTTTCTGCTAAATTTTGTTTCACCAGAAGTACAGTATCATTTAAATGGACAATTTCTCGAGTATGTATTATTATTTTACAATTTTCTTGACGTTCCAGTTATCGGTATCATTTATGACAGGAAGTAAGGCTAAGGTTAGGTTATGCAACGTTAAGTCAACATTAAAGACGTAATCGAAGTACAACATGAAATTGGTAGCGAAAATTTACTTTTCATATTACTTTTCTTCCGGCTTTATTTTCGTTCCATCTCGTCTTACCTATGTCCCCATGTACGATTCCATTCAACTATTATCGTCGTTCTCTTCGAATTCTATTATCCCATCCACGAAGTTGACGTGAAATTATTACAATACCTTTCCGGTTCGTTTTCAGGAACACGGTGATTATTTTAGTTCACAATACGTGGCCATTGTGTCGCACAAAGAAGCTCGAAGGTAACATAAAATGGATCGTGCGACAATTTCTATAACTTGTTATATCCTTTTACGGAAATTTTATTTAATAGATACATAAATTATACATATATCGAAAATTCTTGATCGTTTTTTAATTTTTTCTTTAGAAATATTGTATGGAAGTTCGTTTAAAATTTTCCTGAAGGTGTATCTATTAAAATGATGTTTAATAATTATAATTATTATTTATTACAAATTTTATTAATTTGATCTAATTTTGTTAGAAATGAATATATTATTGAATTGTATTTACATGACATTATATCATATACATATGACACATATTCTTATGAAAAGTGGAATTTTTAAATTACCTCACAAGTAACGAAACAGAGTAGAAAAAAATAATCATCTTTTATAATAATTAAACAACGTGTTATTAATATTAAATTTATACAATTTATTTAAAATTCGAATCTTTTATATTGTAATTAATAAATAAATGAATAAAATATAAGAAAAGGTTTCGAATGTTTAATGATACTATCTTTTCTATGACCAAAAAATGATTAATTTTTCAATCTTTTTCATCAGTTATGTTAACGAGATTCATTTCAGGGGCTAGTCTATGGCCCCTCATAACCCGATACCACAGGCAAAAAGCAAGTGTGAACGTAAATTCTTATTCATACCGAAAGTTAACCTAAGTACATGTTTCATGGTAACGGTGAGAAAGCAGTGTTCTAAAGAAAATCGATCTGTAAAGGTAAGAGCGTGCCGATCACGTAGCTTAACTTTTAACGTTGTTACAAAGAACGAACAACGTTACCGTGGTGGTGCCACGGTAACAGGATTTTCTATGGAAGTTTGCGAAGCGTTAGACTCGCACAGGCAATACCCGTGACAATTCCGGTTTCATGGTTCAACGTGATCCATCGCGAGGCTTTATGGCCTATTCAGATTTTCTTGTAACGCTAACCACGTTTTGACGCTCATAATGAAGCTCCTCTATGGAACTTTACTCGCGTGCTAATAGCTTTTTCACGAGTAATACCAAACTTTCGAGTCAGTTTCTCGATCCTGGATTCCTTTATCTCCTTACTTACGATTAAATTCGTTGACCACATCGCGATTGTATAAATCCTATTTGAAGTATCTTAGTTTAGTATTTTTATGTCGTAATAATAACTGTAATAATAACTATCGTTAAATATTGCATTTTCTCTTGGTTACCATTTCTGAAAGTATTCATCCATAGTAGCAGAAATTATTTTTCCTTATTACTTGATTAGATTAGTAATTAAAATAAATTTATTTATTTAAATTTGTAATAAATTTATTTTCATTGGAAAGTATTATAATGGAAACATAGTCTTCTCCAGAGCTGAAGGAACTGAATTATTCTGAGCTGAAGATGTACGAAGTATAACATAGTTATAAACACTGACAAGAAAGTCAAAATTAATTAAAATATATTAAATTGACAGGAATTTTTGTATGAAAAAGAATAAAATTTCAAATTTTTTACTCATTTTCAATCATTCTAAAATCAATTCCCAACCACTTCTCAGGAAGTACAGGATCTGTTGCCTAATTACTGTGCACAGATGAGATAATGACTAGCAGAAGGAATGCAGGTTTGATTGGTCATATTGTAACAGAACTACTTGCTGTAATATTATGGAGATAAGGTACACGAATCTTCGTTGTTGGTTGAAAGTATCAGGTCTACAAAGCAGATCGTGTAACTTCGCATGACAAAGAGAACGAGCATGCATCTCTTGGTGTCACGAAGACAGATGATATAGAGCAATAAGGAAAGACACGAAGCACGTAGAATGAGAGTTTCGATAATTAGCACAAGATAAAAGACTAAATCATCCAACTGTTATTTTAACTTATGTCACCCAGTCTAAACCAAAAAGTAAGGATTCCTAAAGCAGCTAAGATAAAGTCAGCATCTTCTGATCTTTGCACAGTAATTCAGCTGAACTGTAGAACTACTAAATCCATCAAAATAACTGAAAACACACAACTGCTTTCAGTAAAATTAACATTAATATTTATCAAGATAGAAATTCGCTGAATTATTTTAACCCTTTGCACTCGACGATTTTCTGGCTAGAGAAGAGTAGAAATTCAAAGATTCTCTACTAAAAAACTGACGATACCTTTTTGAGCAGTAAATAAAGAATTGTATAATAGAATCTTAAAATTATTTGACTTCGATACTTCGCACATTGTTACATTACATTAAATTTGATATATCAATTAATATCTATCTTTCAAATTTTATGAAATGGTGACCGAAGCTCACTTCTCGAGTGCAAAGGGTTAATCTCGTTGTCTTTCTCTGGCCAGTAAGATTCAAAATTAGAATGGAATATTTTAATAAAATATTTTGTTATTATTTTTAATAAAATAAAATACTTCTTTATTACATTCGGTGTATTTAAACGAAATATTATATTCTTGCTCGTCCGAGGATTGTGACCTGGAAGACTATGAACCCATAGCGTGTGTAGGGGCTAAACGATTCCGAAGAAAACTGCTTCAAGCTGTTATATATCGGTTTCAATTGAAACAATTATAATCGAAATGATGTTACAAGTGTTATAAATATAGTGGTTCTGGCGTATGTGGACTTCGGTTTCGATTCTTGAAAACTAATATTACTCGTTCTATATTGGTTCTATATCGATTCTACATTGCTACTATATTAGTTCTATATCGGTTTTACATCAGTTCTATATTAGTCCCATATTGATTTTATGTCGATTCCATATCGGTTCTATAATTTTTATTTTCCTATTCCGTATTAATTTAAAAACCCTCGAATGATGGATGCACACCCGGCAAACCGGGGTACTTCTCAAGAACCGAAACCAGAACGGATATAAGCCAGAGCCACTCACAGCAGTCGCAACATTACTTCACTTCTGTAGCTTTGAGAACCCGAGACCTGTAACGTACAACCTCTCGAAATCCTCTCTTTTCAATTCCTAGGTATAAGTAAGGAATACGAATAACAGCAAGGAATACAGGGTTAATTATCGTCATCCTTCTACGCTATATTTAGATACACGTCGTAGGCCAGTAGTTCTAGCGTAGATCGACGTAATGTTCGGGAAAAACAATAATGAAATACCCGAAATGTTTCGCAGGGGGTCAGCATAATGTCGGTGCTGTTCATCTGCATCTCGATCGTGTCGTTCTGCCTGAAGACGCATCCGGACATGCGCGTGCCGGTGATCGTGAACCGGTCGGTGAACACGGGCAACGGGAGCTCCTGGGTGGTGGACAAAACGCATACGAACGCTCTCGACTTCTTTTTCTACATCGAGTGCGTGTGCAACGCCTGGTTTACTCTCGAGTTCCTAATACGGATTACCGCGAGCCCGAATCGCTGCGTGTTCATCAAGAGCTCGGTGAACCTGATCGACATGGTCGCGACGCTGAGCTTCTACCTCGACCTGGCGCTACAACGTTTCGCCTCTCATCTGGAGAACGCGGATATCCTCGAGTTCTTCAGCATCATACGTATCATGAGACTGTTCAAGCTGACCCGCCATTCGTCCGGCCTGAAGATCCTGATCCAGACGTTCCGCGCCTCAGCCAAGGAATTAGCCCTCCTCGTATTCTTCCTCGTCCTCGGCATCGTGATCTTCGCCAGTCTGGTCTACTACGCGGAGCGCACCCAGTACAATCCGCAGAACGACTTCAAGAGCATACCACTGGGCCTGTGGTGGGCTCTGGTCACTATGACCACCGTCGGTTACGGGGACATGGTGCCTAAGACCTACGTAGGGATGTTCGTCGGCGCACTGTGCGCCCTCGCCGGTGTACTCACGATCGCCCTGCCTGTGCCCGTGATCGTCAGCAACTTTGCGATGTATTACAGTCACACGCAGGCGCGAGCCAAGCTACCCAAGAAGAGACGCCGCGCGCTTCCTGTCGAGCAGCCGAGAGTCCGAACTCCGGGTGCACCGTTGGGAGCTGCCGGGGTAGTAGGCACCACGGGGCCACCGGGATGCACCCAGCAGCACTTGCAGTCGGGTGGGCCCACTTCTGGGACCGGTGGCCTGGCTCCTGGCCTTGGACAGACGCCCGGGGTTGGATGTCCAGGTGGCCAGGGGCCCCAGAACAGACGGATGAACGCTATCAAGACCAATCATCCCAAGGATGTTTCGTTCGCCACGAAAGCAGGTAAGTTCTCCAGACTTGTTCCCTGGTTACAGTTTGGTTAGGTTAGGTCGTTGCTCTTTGTTACCCGGTGACCCCGATTGCGTCTAATCCCTTGCACTGGTCGCGTTTATAGCGAGTGTCGGTGATATAGCAGGATCGTAAATGATTGTGCCAAGCGGCCGCATCGATTGATGTCGCGATGACATCGTTGATGGCTCGTCGATTAGGGTCTCGCGTAGTTTGAAGCTGTGGATGGTAAAATGTGGTACAGCAAAGTGAAAGAGGTCGCTGATTTCTTTTTAATTCGTGCCGCGTTCGTTTAGAACTGGCTCTCGAGGGTTTATGATCGTTAAATTGCGTTTGGTATTCCGAATGTTTAAACGAACTTCGACTTCTCGCAAATCGTGGCCTGTAACACCGAGCAATGGAAGAATGCATTCGAAATCGATATCCTATGACAGTGATCCGCGCTCTCGATATTGGATAGTTATTTGAAGTTGCTTTATTGACATTTGGAATATTGGTAGTTTTTCCCCGATTGATTTTATGACTTTGCTACGTTACTCGAAGCTTCTATATCTGTAAGGATAAAATGGCGCTATGGGGATAAGTTAATGACAAGTTAAAGGGACGAGTGAATTAAGAGAGTAAGAATATATGTACGTGGAAGGATATTTTTATACTGAATTTGAAGAATAGGTAAAGCAATGAGGAAGTTCGATTTGGGAATACATTATTTTTAGAAAAATAATGATTTTTTGAAATTACAAAGGATGGCTTTTTAAAAATTTCTTGAATAATAAGTTTTTAAAATTAAGGAGAGGTGGTGATGATGATAATTGAAAAATTATTTTAATAAATTTGGTTTTTGGATAATTAAGTATCGAAGTTAACAAGATTTCAGCTGTAATGAAAGTATGTTGAGTCAGTGAGTCATGACATATATATTAATATAAATAATAGTTGTAATTTAGAAGGAAAATAATAAAAGTAATGTATTTAAAAAATATAAATGATAGTGATTAGCACTCTTTGTTATTATAGTGTTATTAGGAACTGTTATAGCCATAAAATTCCTCTATAGTATTTTATTTAATTCCAGAATGACGAGTGATAAAAATTGAATTACACTTAAAATCTTAATACTTATATTATCCTGTGATATAGATTACTATAGTATTTAATTTCTCATTTTTAATAATATGTATTCACATCATATTCTTGCACAGATACCTACATATTAATAATAATCACTGATCAATAATGACAATTTAACAAAAAGGAATGTCTTATAATTTAATGATCTCGTATTAAAAATTTATCATTTTCATAAAATTTTGAAGACACTAAAAAATTACTAGAATTTAAAAAACTGAATTACAGTTGCTTCCAGTACCTTCCTTAGCTATTTTATTTATCGAGTTTCTATTATTATATTAAAAACGATTAAATTACATATTTTCATAAATTGATGCTTAATTAAAATGTCAAGGAACGAAGAATATATTCAAGCTATTTACGTTAAATATATTTATTATTTAATTGAGAATTTATTTAAATAAAATAGCACGAGAATATATTTTAAATAACGTAGCAACAAGTGCTCTTAAATTTAGAATAAGGTATTTTATCTCCATAAAGGCAGAAGTCCTGCAACAACTCAATACGAAGAATGCTACAGTGATATTGAAGTAGCCAACTATTGATGGATTTCAAAGCCACTATCGTAACATTTCCAATCACCCACTCGTTTTCCCCTCTTACCTACTCTTTTACGTTTTTATGGGCAAAAATGGTACCGCAGTCGCGAGAGAGTTGAACGATAAAAAAGGAACGAGCAGAGTTCGAATGAATTGAAATTTTTCCCCCGGTAATAGCACTTTCCTTTTTATTAACTCCATTTGCATAAATATAAATGCCATAATTTTGCATTCGTGCTATAATATGGAACAAAAGTAATTTAAAATGAAGAATCTGCAGTGGTGCCCTCTTGTCTTCGATACCTAACCTCTTAAAGCTCACAAAAATTCGTCCAGTTTAACAATCAAAAGCGATGTAACCTTTTATTCCATGAAATTATGGTAAATATATCACATCAAGATTTTTATATTTTTATTTTTCATATTTCATATTGTATATAAATAAATTCTAGCTGAAACTTGTATAGGTTATGTCAACTTTTTTAACGTAGCATGTTGCAAAGAATATTATATGAATAAATTTTTTTTAAATTCTGAGAGATCATGTATCAATATTGATTATCAAGATATACATGGATGGTTCATACTTATTGAAAGCAGTATACTATAACTGAACATGGGATTTATTACTAATTACAGTAAAAGCATCTGTAGAAATGCCAAAATTCCAGTAGAAATTAAATTTGAGGTTATGGAGTTTGGATACGAATATTTTGAAAATCATTGAATCTTTTTTCAAATTCATCGAAATTACATTTATAACAAAATGTATATATTTATAAGCTTTAGGAACCCATAATGTGACATCTCTCACGCTATTTTTTTTAACTTTCTTTCTTTACTTAACCATTATTTTCATCACAGAACACGAATTCTGAGAATTCAATATTTCCTATTAATATTTCCCAAATTCTAATAAAATCAAAAATCGCTGGAGCCTGTTAAACTTCGCTTTATCAGTTATAGGTTAGGTTCTTACAGTGGATGCGTTTTCTAAAGAACATAGTCATACTGCGAACGTTCCATTCTTTAAATATCTCGTAAAAATGAAATACCTCGGGAATAATCGTATAAGTCAGCGGTTCTCAACCTTTTTCTTGATCATCACGACAAATCACGTGCCATTTTGTAACTTATATTTATCCATTGCAGTATATCTCTCTATATACAATCGTGAAATTTTATATAATTTAATTCAATTCGCATAATGCTTGAAAATATTTATCAGAGGTTGACCACTCGTACAAAGTCCATTTCCCTAC